TTATTGAGTTGCCGTTCGAGCCGTTAAATACACAGACAGCTGAGCTAAGAGCGGGCAGCACTTATTGAAAACTGATTACCAGGCAGAGGCACAGGCACAGACACTGGGCGATAACAAACATATTAAGACACTGAGCCGATCAGCCAGTGAACGCACTGAAGCGAACGACGTGCAAGTTGACGCATATTGCCTGGCAATTAAGCCGCACAGCTAAACAGATTGTGGCACCACGAACACGGCAGAGCAACAAGCGGCAGCCAACCACAGGCGGCGAGCAGCAGGCGAAAGCGTAGCCAACTGTTGGCTAATACTTGGGCTAAGATGGTCAAAACGAAAGTTGACGTGGGACAGCGCTAAGTCGTGTTAGTTTGGTTTAGTTTCGGTTTAGTTTTGCCTGAGTTTATTTTCGTATAATTAGCTTTGCTTTAAGCCGCATTTACGCGGCGCTTTGTTGCGGCTAATTTCATTTATAAGCTTCAGCGCACAACAACAAGTAATTTACAGCCCTTAGGGCGAGCCTATAATTATGCCACGATTGTTGCTGCCTTTGGCTGCAGTTAGAAGCAATTCAATTATGCCAGCTCGTCTGCAACACTTGAGGCGCTTTTGAACATACCACATACACAAATACAGATTAACTGTGCGCACACAAAGCGAATGGCATTCAATTTTCAAGTGCATACTACGGGGAATAACTAAATAAATTACGCAAAATATTTAATTAAGCATCCGTAGATACGCCCCCAACAGATATGCCACAATGCGCGTTGCGGCACGTTTCACGTGGCGTATGCGTAATATGCAAATGTACGCGCACTTGGCGCGCTGTCACTTTGAGGTCGTTTGTGGTCCGTCTTGAACTATCAGAAACCTAACTATCCGGTTAACGTTTGTATTTCTTGGCCCGAATGTCTAAACGTCTAACTGCCTGAACGCGCTGACATGCGCTCGAAATGGAACCCTTATCAGACAGACGACAGACAGACAATGCGTTGAGCCCGATTTGACAATGGGCAACTCAAGCGAAAGGCCCTCGAGTAGATAATTAACAATGCAGCAATCCGGTTGCGACCTATGCTGCGTATACGTAATGCCCGACGACAGTACACAGGCCGCAAATGAAATGGACGAAATGAACTCCAACCCTCGCAAAAGTACTTTTGCCCATTTGTGCATTTGTTATGCTTATGACTGCTTATTGGGGTCGTAAAGCGTATATGAAAGTCACATATGTGTGCCAACAATTGTGTGTATGTGTGTGTGTGTGAGCGAACCGAGGGTCGTTTTTCGACTAAGGGCTAATTCTATTTATGTACTTTTCGCTGATTTAATCAAACATTAAACCTATGCTTACTGTGCAGCATATTGAAGTTTATGTATTTAGCACGAATCATATTTATATAATAATTTGTGTGCTTTTAACTAATATTAAACCTGTTTAAAGCTATACGTTTATATATGTATGCCTAAAAATGAAATCATATAACAACAAAATATAATATTTTATTGTAGTCAGGGACTTAGCTTTGGCTACTCTGAGGAAGTAACTTAACACTCATGACTTAAATATATTTTTATAATTTTTTTGTAAGAAAATCATATTTTATAAAATATTAAAGCTCAAGAATGTTGGATTTGATAGTATTTGTTTTTATGCCACATTGAAGAATTTTAATACCGGAATTTTCTAAAATATGTTTAGCTGAAACTGGCCTGAGAGAAACCTTCTTATTAAAGAAGCAAACTATATATAAGTACTCTTTTGAAGCACAGGGAATTGGCTAATATTGCTCTGTTATGTATTAAAGTTTGATATTATAGCTCAATTATTTCTAATATATAGATATAGCTCTAGCCTAAGATATATTTTCAATTAAAATCTTAAAGCCTTATTGAAAATTAAATTAAAGTTGTTGCGGTCTAGCTCAAAGACTTCTATTGCTAAAGCAATCTTCTACATGTATAATCTCTACGACTGCCTCTCGTCTGTGCGTGTGTGTGTGTTGCTCACCTGTGTGTGTGTGAGTGCCATATAAGAAGAAAAGCACGCAACTGACAGCGGCGACCGTTTATCAGGCGCTGCTTTTGTCCTTTTTGCCAGGCGCACAATAAATGAGGCAAAGGCAAACAAAACATGTGCCAGACTGGCTCGCACCACTACAGCTGTTGTTTTTAACGGTCCTGTATGTGTGTGTGTGTGTGTGTGCACACGGCAAAAAGGACCATCACTGTTTTTTTTAATTGAGACATTGAAGTGTGTGCGTGTATGAGTGTATGGGCGCGTGTGTGTGTGTGTCCGTCAGTCTACGTTTATTTTAGCCTGTCTTTGCGTGTGTTCTGTGTGTTGTTCGTGTGTGTAACGGGTGTGTATGTGTTGTTGTGGTTCGTGCGGGTGTGTGTGTGTGTGTGTGTTTGTGTTTGCTGTGTGTGTGTGTGTGTGGTGTTTGTCTTCAGTTAGCGCTAAGCAACGTTTGCTTCTTGTTGTTGCTTTTGCTGCTGCCCATCTTCGTTTGGCTTTAGGCTAAAAATATTAAACTCACAAAGCATTTGATAAATAGTATAGACATGTATTTCTATATGCCAAATTGTCAAATATAACAACAGCAGCAGCAACAACAGGAACAGCAACAACAACAACAGCAATGGCAACCCACACAATAACAACGAAAATAATTTTCGCGCTTTGTGCCTTTCACGTTCGTTCGCTCAGTTTTGTTAACATTTTGCTTTCATCATTTAATTTTGGCTGCTGCTGCTGTGTGTGTGTGTGTGTGTGTGTGTGTATGTGTGTGTGCTTGTATGTGTGTGCACAAATCAATAAAATTGACCCTCTGTGCCCCCGTATTACCGTACCTCGCCCCTTACCTTGACTACGTGCCAGAAGCATTTCGCATTTCGCATTTTTTTTTTGTGAGCTGCTTCGATTTGTTACGTGGTCGCATTTATAAAATTCAAATTCAGATTTAAACTTAAATAAACGCTAATTTTGGCATTGATATTCATTAGCTATTTATCATCATAATGATCCTGACGCTGATGAGCAGCTGTGGGCCTGTGTAAATATTTTGTGCCTTGATTAAAGACCATCTCCGATGGCTGAACATGAAATTAGAACGTTAATTTTTCATTTCTCCATGTTGGCCCAAATAAAAAGGGACTCGAATTTCGCTGCTAATCCGCCTGTTTTTCAGGTCATGAATTTTAATTGGATGCGACATTTTGTGTTTGAATTTTATGCACTTTAATTAAAGTTTATATTGTGGCAAAAGTTTTATGCAGAATCATTCCATTTTTTTTTTTTACAAAATAACGCACATATATATATTCAGCTGTATGTATTAGAATTATAAAAAAACAGTTGAACAGTTGTTAGAGCTCAGGTTGCTCGCAGTTTGACCTTTGATTTATTAAAGCTCACAGACTGCAATGTTGTAACCTCGTTACGGTATATTTTAAAAGTAAATTAAGGACATAGGATAAAAAACTTTTTCGCATTTAGCAAGAAAATTGACCTTCAACGTGAAAGTTCAATTTGGAAAAATAACTAAAAGGTTATTGATTAAAAGCAGCGACTTTTTGTTCTGCTCTAACTAACAACTTTATAAATAAATCAATCATTATACACCTGCAAAGCGTATTAACTATACATACACAACTTTTCTTTTGTTTGCCCGGACTGGCCGATTGTCTTGAAGCAAAGCAGAAAGTGTACGCTAGAGCTGTTATACAAAACCACTTTTTTTTTATCCGTTCAGATTCGATATCATTTTCTAAGAGCTGTGTAAAAGTTCAGGAGACATATGACTCGTACTTTTCGGAAAAACCAACATAGAATGATTCAAAAATTACGGGAAATCCAATTATTAGCGATTGTTCAATAAGAAGAAGCATGAGTGAAAGCTGGATAATACATGCATGCTAATGTACAGCAAGGTCTATTTCGACTAGTAACATAGAATTGGTTGAAATCCAGAATTGTGATATAACCCCATAGCGTTTATGTCAAAAGTAGCTAAAATTAGGTATTTGGCGGTACGAGTCGAAAATGGTATAGCATTTCCAAATCGGACCCTGTTTTCGCGAGGCATTATCACATTTGTATACTGTAAGGTGTTATCTGTTATCAGAGTGAGGATCGGGGGCTCATAATATAACAATAATTTAAGGTTACAAGTAGTTTAGTTTAAATATAGGCACAGGTAGTAGATGATACATATGGCGTCCTATGTTAATTTAGTTTAGTCTACTCTAGGTTCTTATTTGATAAGCGAACGATCTGCATGCTGACACTAAAGACTTGATGTACTAGATCTGTTGGGTAGGTCCCTTTAAGTCTTCTTCTTATTCGCCTCCTTAACAGGTTCCTTGCCAGGACGTTAGGGTGATTGTGAAAATAGCTAGCTCGCTGTTTAAAAGTAGTAGAAGATCTGTGGCCCAAATTCGATGCTCCGGAAAGTATGCAATGAATTCTGAATATTTGGTATCCTTTTATTTCTCCTAATCTTCCAATATTCTATGTGCAGCTAATTATTTTTTATTAATTAATAGTACATTTAATTATTATTGATTTCTTTGAAAAACCTAGTTATTTAAATAGGAGAAATTATACATAAAACATACTCATAATTAGGTAGTGAAATCAGTCACTGACAAATGTTCAAAGTTAGCTGTGGATTGGAGCATTATTGTTGATTTTAAATTTTGTTGATTCTCAAAATATAAGTCTGCTTAACAAACTCTCAGTTTTGGAGATGTTTGAGCGAGAATTGGGACACGTCGAGTTGCTTTCTCTTCAGTTACCATATTTATAAAAATTAAATATAAATTTGTAGGGTCTTACGTTACTTTTATGTAAAACCCAATTGGTTTTCCGGCTTACCGGCTGAACCAGACCTTATGCAGGTGTAATCCACGTGAATACACGTCGTGGGTTTATTGATTCAACGTTTGAAGTTCAACACTCGCTTATGGCCCATAAATATTTAAGCCGAATTGTACTTATGTTCATTGGTTCCGGCTTTAAGCTTCAAATGCTGACCTAGTAAGTTGTGTTTTGCCTCGTCTGCCTGCCTGCCTGCCAGTATGTCTATCTGTCTGTCTGTCAGCCCCTCTGCTGCTGCCTTCGGTGTGCTTTTAGGCGCTCTGCAAGCTAGCTGCTGTCTCATAATTTATTTATTTTGCCATGAAGTCAAAATGAGACGCAATGCCAAAGAAAGCGCCAAGTATTTGTACTAAATAGTTTAACGTTTGCCCTGAAATTTATTTTGGCCACGTTGCTCTTTCGGCATTGCCTTTGCCATTTCCAGAGTCTTCCCAAGTCAATTTGTGGCCATCAGTTGGGCTCAGACCCTCTGACAGATGCTCAACTACTCGGAAGCAAACAAAAATGTTACATACAGGTGAGCGCAGCGGGTCGGGAGGGGGGAGGCGAAGAGCAATCAGTCTGAGTCTGTGCACAGTGACTGCAATAAGTAAAGTACGCCACGTATTTACACTCAGAAACTTTTGACACATTGAATTGCATTTAATTTAAATTTGGCCAATTGCAAATTAAATATGCAAATACGTAAAATGTTTTTACTTTTTAAAGTAATTAATAAAGAGATAATGCGCTTAAGCACATTTTCATAAAATTATGAACCAAACAACACACACGTACACACACGTACACACACACACAGACGTACAGTCAGACACACAATTTGAATTGCGCTCGGAGCTCATTTAACTTTTTAATTGTGCAGTTTTGTGTGAAGCTGACGGAAGAATGACATAAAAAACGAAAATAAATTTAAGTAAAGTCAGACCGGCAATAAGCGCATTAATTGCCAGACCAAAATAAGTGAGAGCGTTGAAAGCAAGTATTATAAGGACTATAATATACCCTCGAAATGAAAGTAACTATTTAAATAACAAAAATCGAATTTATAGATAAATATATAAGCGGAGTCCTTTAACTATTGAATGGGGTATCTCAATGTGTTGGTAAGAGTGAAACTTTTGCCCTGAGCTTTGAATATATTTTTAAATATGCCATTAACAATTTTTTAATATATCAAAAAGGAGTATCAGTTGTGTCCTGCAAATATACCAATTTTTAAAAAAAAATTATATATATAAAAAAAATGTAAATAAATCGATATTTGGACATTTTGATATGCAACAACAACTATCATCGATATACCCCATTTTGGAGCATGGAACAGGGTGCATGAGTTGGTTTTCGAGTGACTGCGCTGTGAGTCTAGCGCGCCTCAGCGACTCGGCGACTGGGCGGCGCGTGTGGGGCATGTGAAGTGACCGCAATTAAAAGGAAATTATGCGTTCTTTCTTTATTTGCAGCGCTGCGGCTTGAGCTTTAGTTATAACAGCTGGCTGTTGCGGTAAACAGTGGGTGCGACACGTTAACGGTAACTGGTGCTGGCATTGGAACCGGAAACGGAAGTGCTCATAGTCGGCTGGCGGTGCACAGTGCGGGCAGCAACACGGCAACAACGGCGGCCAGAATTTTTTCACGTTTGGATAGCGTCGAGGAGGTGCAACGCAGTCGCAGTGGCAGCGCTGTTGGAATAACGCCCGGCGGTGGTGCAGTGGCAGCGGCAGCGGCAGCGGTGGCAGCGGGTTCACCAGCCAGAACTGGCCAGCAGCAGCAGGCTCAGGTCGGCGGTGTCTACGGCAGTGTGGGCAGCGTGGGCAGTGTGGGCAGCGTGGGTGTAGGTGTGGGCGGTGTGGGTGTGGGTGCAGGCGTGGGCGTGGTACCCGGTACAGGAGTCGGCATCGGCGTGGGCGTGGGCAATGCAGCAGGGGCGCGTAATCGCAGCGCCAGCACAATACTCGAGCCCGGTCAGAGCGGCACGCTAGGTGGCAGTCAGGGAGCGCACACGCGCAAGTATTCCGGTGGCGGCGGTGCAGGTCTGCTCGCTGGCGACGTGAATGGCTACGGAGACAACGCGGCGACTGCGAAATGCGATACATATAACGGCGTGGGAACGGGTGCTGGTGTTGGTGTCGGTGTCGGTGTTGGTGTTGGTGTTGGTGTCGGTGTCGCAGGCAGAGGCATACCACAAGAGAGAAGCTCAATTGGATCAGTTAATGTGCCAGTCACAACAGTCAGCAGCTTGGGAATAACGCTCCGTGAACGTTTATCTAGCGTCAGCGGCGCATCATCAGCAAGTGGAGCGTCCGGCGAGGCTGGCGTGTCGGCAAGTGCTGGCGGTGCAGCTAGCGGCTCAGCGCCAACAATAGGCGGCAGCAGCAGCGTGCCACATTGCAAGCGTCAGGGCAGCTTTTCGAATGTATTCTCAAAGCTAATCGATGGTACGTCCGCTGGCACAATGTTCGCCAAGTTCAAAAGCGCCAACGTGGCGGCCGCCACATCCACACAGAATGTCGCCGAGGGCAATCCCATAACGCAGTACTTCGAGATTGGCAAGCCGGTGGCCTCAGCCGGGCCAGAGCTCATCTGGCGCATACACGATGGCTATCGTAAGAGTGACAACAAGGTGAGCGCGCCCAACAATCTGTTGCTCCTCCCAACCCCATCCCCAGCTCCAGCCCAGTCTAGTGTAACGCAAATACCCCTCCTCTATCCATAGGAATGTTCGGTGTTTATATTTGAGAAAAAGGTGGCAGAGAAACTGCACAAGCCGCGCCGCAAGGAGACCATTACAGAGCTGCTGAAGAGCTCGGTAAAGACATTGGAACGCTTTCGTCATCCCAGGGTGAGTGTGCACATTTAAAGGGTATATAGCCATGCATATACTATTTTGAAATCTCTTTAACAAGCAGTATATAGTAAAATATATTTTTTAACAGTATTGTATTTATATAAAAGAATTTATGTCAAATATTTTCAAGAAATTTACCAAAAATATTTCTTGTTCATAATTGATTTCAAGTTAAGAGTAAACATAAACGTTAGACCGAATAATATCAGTCTAGAGTAGCCGACTAGTAGCCTACTCTATCTATAGGCTAAGACTATCTGCTTGCTTAATAGTTTGGAATAAATGACTTTAAACGAGGAAGAGAAGACTCCGATCAGAATACTCTGTACGGCTTGCTGTAATCATCACAGGGCACCCGGAAAGGTTCATGCGCCTTGCATAGTTAGTTTAAACAAAATTTAGTTTTAAAATAATAATACCAGAAGTTTAATTGGCTAGTCTAACCAGAATAGACGATTAAACCCTTAATCAACCTATGAATAAATATTACACCAAGCATAGTTCTACATTCTAAGTTCTTAACTCACATAATCTCAGACAGAACTTGACTAGATTAACTTCATTTTTGATGCTGACCAAGAAGATGCCTTACTTTACATGACTTGCACAAAAATCACGATACCCAATTGCAATGAGTGCAGGATATGACAAGCATAGAAAAAAGAGTTCATGTAGATAAGCAGATTATGCGAAAAATAAATATATATTTTGTAATATTGGTATTCAAATCTGTATCCATACGTTAGCCTATGTCTACAATGTATCTTTATGTATGCCTTTGAGGATAATACACATTTCTTAAATTACGTTTACACAATTTGCTTGCTCTCATTTGCCTTATATTGTCCAATATCCATTTGATCTCTCTACCCAACAGATACTTCAAATCTATCATACCGTCGAGGAGAGTGCGGATACGTTGGCCTTTGCCGCAGAGCCCATTTTTGCCAGCCTTTCAAATGTGCTGGCCTTTCATGTGAGTTGTTTTTGTTGTTTGGTTCAGTTCACAGTTTTCAGCTCTCAGTTGTGTTCAGTTGAGTTCGGTACTCTGCCGGCTAGCTGACCAACAGGATATGCAATTTTCGGTGTCGCCCTCTGCTCCATTGTGAATTTGGCTTCGTTTTTAGGTTCTATGCCTTTTCCTGGCAGCTGTTTCAATCAAATGTTGTTGTTGCTGTTGTTGTTGTTGTTGTTGTTGTTGTTGTTGTTGTTGCTGCTGCTGCTGCTGCTGCTGCTGCTGTTCTTTTTTGCGTTCGGTTAAAGTTTCGTATGGCAGCCAGTCAACTGCATAGTTTGGCTTTCGGTTCAAGTGCCAGGCAGCACAGCAATGTGACGTATGCATAAAGCAACCACACGCCCACACACACACACGCGCCCATACTAGCCAACACACACACGCACACAAATACAACTAAATTGAATTATACTGCGTGCTGGTAGAGTTTACGCTGTGGAGATTGAGTCAATAAAATGATTCGTTTTACTTGCAAAGCTCCGAAATTGATACGCACACACACAGTCACACATACATATAGTGAAGTTTGCGCTCTGTGCTTTGTTTTTGCGAGAACAACCCAAAACTGGCAGACAATATTTTAGTTTATTGAGGTGCACACAACAACGACAACAAAAACAACAACAATAGCAATAGCAAAAAGTAAAAAAGAACCAACGCAATTCCAACAAAAGTCGAATCGAGTTAAATTACATTGAAAATTGCATGGGTAAAACCCAAATTGTTTTACAAACTAAACAACATGTTCAAGAATAATGGAACGAAAACACAAACAAGAAGTCAAAGTTGAATTTTGTGAAGTATTTGTGCACGACAATTACATATAACTATTTGTCAGAAGAGGCAAACAATTAAAGAGCTCTTCAGTTAAATAACCACACAGAACTAAGACGATTAAAGGCACTTTTGTTGAATTTAAGAAAGGGGAAAAAAAAGAAAGGAAAAACTTGTTCAAACTAAAGTCATTGCTTAAAGCAATAAATAAAGAGTTTTAATTATGTTAAAGTTTAAATGAATTCAATTTTGGATAGACAGATCCTACAGTTCCTTAGTCTACTCTGTCTCTCTCTCTCCCTCTAGAAAGTCAAGCTCCAGTAATAAGGCAACTAATGCCGTTTCCATGCCAAAACTACAATATAAACTAGAAAAATTATAGTCCCACAAAAATCCAGCTATGCACAAGCTTTCACAAGCTACTTTAAGAGCTACATTTGCCACATGTTTCTGCACCTTAATTTCTTTATTGTCTGCAAAGTTTACGACTTCATGACATAGTTATTTTACCCGCTGGGAGGCTGCGAGAAAAGTGAAAAGAAAAATGCGAGAAAAATTGAAAAAGCAATTGCCATAAAATGCAAACAGAGCGTTATTTTTTTTTTTTTTTGGGGTGGGCTGGGCGGTTTGTTGGAGGCTACGTGTCTGCCAATTCTTATGCGGCACGCTGTCTTGCAGGAGTCGAAAACCTATGATAATGCCAGCGTGGCGCCAGCAGCGGGTGGCGGGACGCCACAGACGCAGCCAGCAGCTGGGGCGCAGCCCCAAAGGCCGCCGCATGCAAAGGAATACAATTTCTTGGATATGGAGCTCAAATATGGATTCTTGCAGGTAAAGCAAACAACTCCATTCGAATGTGTGGTCCACTCTATGAGAGACAGACTGTGTATATACATATATATATATATTTTTTTTTTTGTAACGCTTTCTCGTTTCCAGCTAACGGAGGCTTTGTCCTACTTGCACTATTCCGGTCACGTAATTCATCGAAATGTGTGTCCATCTTCTATACTAATAACCAAGCGGGGCATTTGGAAGCTGGCTGGCATGGAATATGTGGGTGAGTTTCAATTGAAATGAATGCGAGTGGCCGGCCACTCGATTTGTATTCATAATTCTTTTCATTGCTGTTGTTGTCGTTGCTTTGCAGAAAGAATGAATGAGACTGATTTGAATAGCTCAATTCCGTGCCCACCATGGAGCAACAGGGTATCAAAAATGGCACAGCCCAATCTGGACTTTATGGGTAAACAATGCGTGACCATTAAACAAATATCAACTCCCAATTTCAATAAAAGAAAAAACAAACTGAAATCCAATACAACTCTCAATTACAATTCATTGAAATCTAGCGCCCGAGACGCAGACGACCTCCAAATGCAGCCTGCTGAGCGATATGTTCTCCCTGGGCATGGTCATCTGTGCGGTGTACAACAATGGACGACCACTTATACAGGCCGGCAACTCTACATCCAACTATGCCAAGCAATTGGAATCGGTAAGAGTCTCTCCTAGCTAAATTAAGTTGCCGCTTGAGCCCGCGGCCAGATCCGAAGCCAAGTAGCAAGTGATGCGGCTGGGGTAAAGTTTTTTGTTGTGCTGCTGTAATTAGATTCGCCGCTTTGTCAAATGCAAATGTAATCAAAAGTCCACTTGAAACTCTAATTATTCAGCCAGGTGCTGAAGCTGAAGCTGTAGCTGATGCTCCAGATGCCTCCGGCCATGTCATTAAAACTTTTGGCCCCATTCAGCCAGACTTCAAGTGTTTGCGTCCAATGTTGTGGCCAAGTTTGTTGTTGTTGCTTCGCTTTTTCTTTTTTTTTTTTTTTTTTTTGGTCATCTGGCTTCAGTTGTCGTCGTATATCATGGACTGCTCTTGAGTTTTCTCTTACCTTTTCCAGCTGGATGACCATGTGCATAAGCTAATGCCGCGGCTGCCCATTGCTCTGCAGGAGGCGACATCGCGCATGGCCAGCCGGGATCCGACAGCGCGACCCACCGCTCAGTTGCTGCAGCTGATCAAATACTTTGTGTGAGTAGAAAACTAGCTAAATTGGCGCAGTCACCGCCCCTGACACCGACACCGATACCGACACCGATCCCGCCCCCTGCTCAACTGTCGCATATCTGCTGCAAATTAATTAACTTTTAACTAAACGCAAAGCAAGCAAAAGAAAAAGCGACAGCAATTTGCGCAGTTTTAGCAGAAAGTTTTTTGTTTGAGTTTCAAATGAAATTGACACCTGTTAAAAACACGCACACACACACACCCCCCTGACAAACACACAGACAAACAAGACACGCAATCTCTAAGCCAATTTGTACATGTAGCTAAAATTCAATTGAAGCATTTACTTTTACCTAACCAAGGACACAAAGCACACTCACACACACAGACTCCACGCACACACAGACACCACACAGCCACACGCACACCTTAATTACGTCTGTTTGGTAAATGAAAGCGGTAATCAGGCTTGAAAGACACAATGCGAATCTCTTGAGCTGATTGTGAGTAGTGGAAAGCGAACGAAGCGCTACGCTCTGTTCCATTACATTGCGGAGAGCGGCGGATTTATGACGACAGCATCTGCTAGGCAGACCGCCAGGAGGCTCCATCTGCCTGGCGTGGTGGAGCCTCCATTCAGATGCGGCAGAAAAAAATAATATAAAACTCGCAGACTGCTAGGCAAGCAATGCACAGTGGGCTGTATGTGCACAAAACTGGGTAGAAATTTCACTTTTGATTGAAGGTATACAATTGAAAGAAAAACATCGAATTAACATCGAAAAACATTACATAAGGTTTTGCTTAAAATATTGAAGAGAAGATATTCGAGAGCTAACAAAAAAAATTAACATAAAATTGTCAGACCTAGAGAATATATTTTTTTCGGATCATATAAAATATGGGGAATCTAGGTATACAAATTACGACCAAAAAGGTTAAGTAAAGAAAGTTTAAATGGTTTATTTGAATACATATAATACAAATATAGGCTACTCTTGCCGGCATAAAGAAGCTCTGAAATCTTAGACAAAAAATCATCTAGTAAATACAAATATAATAGTCTGCCTACGATAACAACATCTATTCCCAGGACACAGTATCGAAGATAGATAAATATTTTATTGATACATCTCAGTCACATTTTCAGTTAAACTATATTTGCTAGTAATACTATACCATTCAATTATATTTAACCCATTTGGAAATGCATTCAATTGAAGTGCAATTGTACCACTGTGCGACGAGCTGTGCTTAGACAAACTGAAAGTCACGGCCGAGGCGTTGGCGGCTGGCGGCTCACAAAATCTTTTGCTTGGTAAAACTGAGTGTCATACGCCCCCTCTGCCGCCCCCTTGCCGCCCAGAAGCCAGTCAGCTAGACTGTCAGTCAGTTAGTCGCTTGTTGGCAGCACTTTGAAGTTCATTTAAATGTTATCAACGTATTCTGTGCGTTTTTTAGCTGCGCTTGCAAATAACTCAACCAGAACTCCCCAGTTCGTGCCGCGGCGCTTATGCTGAATTTGTTGCCCGGGGCTAATCAGCCGGGCCACAGGGGCAATGCTGGTGGCATCTTATACAGTGGCACTTTGTGTGCAACGGGGCGCATACGCAATGTGATTTAAGGCCGCGCTCATTGTTTAACCAAGCGCAGTTTTATATTGCAACCAATGCCAATGCACATTATTTAACTGGTTTTCAACTTTTATGGCTATTTTTGAATTACCCGCAACGGCAACGCTCCAATGCCGGGTAATTCAAATTTTGTGCCGTCTGCGCACTACGATAAAAGCTGATGCGGGGCTTAGTGGGGAGGGGAGAGGGTGGGGGTGGTGAAAATAAAAGCGCACGAGTGAAAGGTAAACAGTTTTTGGTAATTAAGCATCAGCCAATTATATTTCCATAACAATAAAAACGCATTTCTATAAACATTTCACACTTCAGTAGCGAAAACTTTGCCCGCAAAAACAACTGAAACGCGCATAAAATTTTCTGCTTAATCCTGTGTTATATTCATGCACAACTATAGATATGTGTATATACATATGTATGTATGTGTATTTGCCACAATTGTTTTAGGGATTATATTCATTTTCGCCCGAAAAGTTTTCAACAGCTTTTACAATGGGTTCCCGAAAGGGATTAAGTGCCAAACAAATTTATTTAGATGTCAAAGTATAATTAAAGTAAGCACAAAAAGAAAAATGCTCATGAATTAAATTTTAACAGGTGCTAAAAAGCATCAAGTACCTTTTGTTAAGTACAGGGTATGTGAAAAAAAAAACATTTGCGTAAGGCATTTGTTCTGTTTTGTGGCTAATAAATGTGACATTGTTGGCGAGTGTTAATAAAATGTCTGTCATTCTGTATTTAATTTTGATGGACTTTTCTTGTTTTGTATCATTTAGCGATCCGGCTATTAATGCGTTGAAATTCCTCGACGTGGTCAACATGAAGGACACACAGCAGAAGTCGCAGTTCTATAAGACCACCTTGATAGAGGCCATGCCGCTGATACCGCGCGTAAGTATCCCCAAAATAAAGAAAAAGAAAAAAGCGTTCGCACCGGAAACGGATGTTGGCCAGCTTTACGGACGCGTCGTCGTCCATTTTTGGTTTTCTGCTCAGCTCTGTCAACGCATTCATCATTAATGGCATCAAGTCGAGCACTTTGCAGCCCCCAACAACAGTTTGCAAATTACGTGCTATTTTATGACAGTTGCAAAACTGTCGCCTGCCATTTGATTTCCCTGGCAGAGGCGCCAGGAAGCGCCATTGTCTGACCAATTGGAAGGCCATCAGCTACTTGGCCGTTATTCCTTATAACTATTGTCGCTCTTGCAGAAACTCTGGTGGCAGAACCTGTGGCCCATGCTCAAGTCGGAGATTAACAATGGCGAGGTGCTCGCCGCGGTCCTTCAGCCCGTGATGCTCTTCGTTCAGGAGGCAACGCATTCGGAGTACGATGCCCTAATGTCGGCCACAATGAAGTGAGTGTCATGCGCTCATTATGCGCCCATTTACACACACCCACGCACACCTCACACCCACACACACACACACACTGCTTAGGCGATGGCTTACCGCCTACCATTTAACAGTTAAGTAGCGATGACCTTTTGTTATTGTTGTGCTAGCTATGTATATGTGTGTGTGTGTGGTTATGGCTACCACGATAGCTCCTGGGCAAGTAAACAATGGACAGTCGGCGGCGACTTCAACTTTTGTGTTGCTGTTGAACAATTGAAAAACTTTTGTGACACTTTATTTAATTTTCATGGCGTTTTATTGCGCGCACACACACACACACCTATAGGGACACCGCAGTACAGACAAGCGATGGCTCATATTGTAATTTATAGACCACAAGCTGAAGTTAAAGTTGGCGGCGTGCAAAGTTTTGTGATGGGGCCAACTATGTCAGGACTATGCGCACCTTTTGTGGCCTGGTCGCCGCCTGCCAGGCATCTATAAATTAGTAAATCGCACGGATACGGCTGCAGCTGCTGTACACAGCGAGGGGAATTGAAAAAGGCAACATCAGGTTTTTCATTTCTAGAATAATATATTTACTTTTCGATATCTCTTGACTTTTGAAAGCGTTCGCTTAGTATATTTAGCTAAAGTCACATTGTGACTAATTTATTACTTTTCCATAAAAGGAAGTTAGATTAATTTAAAATGTAATTGTTGGAATACAAAGAGAATTAGGGTGATAAAGCAGCAGATCCTTCCTATAAAAGACTCCCAATCAGCGTAGGGTGCCCCATGAAAGTTCTCACAATATATTAAATCAGTTTAAACTAAAATCCCACCAAGAAAGCAGCTCCATACGCCCTGAAAGATCAGGATAGTAAAGATAATACCATAGATTTGAGTAACAGCATTTTAAAACATAGAATAGTAATTGAGAAATTTTATACAATAGTATTGCCTCAGATATGCCTTAAAATATCTCTGATTAAATAGCTACAAAAATAACTTTTTTAAACATCGCAAAGAGCTCTCGTATTAGGAACAACTTTTGAGTTGGGCGAAAAAAGTTTTCGGACTCTTGTAAGACGCTTATTGACACTGTCATAAAAGTTGCAAATAACAACTTTTCACATTCATCTACACACAGAGAGACACACTCTAAGCCCAGCTAGTGCGACAATAATGACGCCTTTATTTGGCATCATTTTTTATACAAATATTAAATAAATGTGACGGCAACGAAACTTTTTGCCAAGTCAAATAAAAGTAAATGTATGTATATATGTATATGGTATATATTATTTTCTTTTGTGTCGCTGTCAACAGAATTGTCTATAACACACCGAAATCCATTCAGGCGAGCGTCACAATACTTGAGAACTTGCACTTGATAATTGAGAAAACGAAACCGGAGGATGTCACCACAGATATAATGCCAATGTTATTCCTTTCATTCGACGGATCCACAATTCAAGTGCAGGTAAGCACAACTTGAAGGCGTTCGCTTCAGTTTACCTGACTTGGCATAGATATGCAAATTAGTCAGGCAGCTGCAGGAAGTGAGGGAGCTTGATGGCGGAGAATGGGAATGGGAATCGAAGAGGAGAGGTGGGAATAAGGGGTTGACAAGTCAACTGAGTTGGCATTTGCCTTAGCGTTGATTGTGTAATTACAGCAGAAATTTCTTAATTAACTGTGGCACAAAGATGCCTCTTAAGCAGCTCGGTTGCCTCTTCAAATTTATTGCCTACGAAACTTCTTCTTATTTGTAATATTACCTTACGCCTGGGCTCTTAGGAATTTCAGGTAGCTTAAAATCGTTTGTAAAATTAACTAGAAGCCTCTTGCGGCATACAGATAGTTACTTGATATAAGAAGAATTTCTATTTTGAGACACTTTTTCTTCGGTATCTCTTGATTTTGTGCAGAAGTCGCTAAGCGGTATTTTACCAGACTTTTATAGCTGCAATGGAGGGGCTAAGAATAAGATGTTCTGACAGAATTCAACTTCTTGGCTAAAAAGATTGATAGCTGAATAATCAGAAGATTAGGATGTCAGAACATTCGTTGCTTATGTTTAACTCGGAGCTGATAATAGAACTAAGCAGCTGTCATAATTGCAGCTGTCTCATTGATTGATAATCTCAGAGATATCCATTACATACGTCCATATCGGATGTTCACTTATTAACATTCTTGTAATATATTAATTTCCCATCACACAGAGCGCGGCTGTTGTGGCCGTGGCCAATGTCTTTGATAGCATTGATGAGCTGTCCATTCGTCGCATGGTTTTGCCCAAAGTCAAATTGGTATTTGAGAAGAACATCACGGATCCAAAGATTGTGCAGAACGTGCTCATGTGCATTGAGCGTGTCATGGACCGCATGGAGCGGGCACAGGTGCGTTTACCAACTAACCCAGTCCCTAACAAAACCCCATTGAACTGTTGCCATGGCATAATCCTGCAGGTTATGGAGGAGGTGCTGCCCCTGCTGGCAAATGTCCGCATACCAGATCCAGATATTATCATGCGGACTGTGCGTAAGTAGAACAAACAACCTTTGCACTGGCTAACTCCAGATAAATTCAATTGATACTGACTGCAAAAAGTTAATAGAATTTTACACGCACACACACACTCATACCCAACACACAACACACACCCACATTACTATGGAAGCGACCAGCATTGTTATTGTGGAAATAAAAACTAATTAAATATCATAAAATTGAATCGGAGCCAACTGTGCGAGTGGGTTAAGGCATGTGACTGTGAGCAGTTGTATAAAACGTGCTTCTTAAATTTAATACGTTTATATAAAAAGAGTATATTGTTTTTTTTTAGTCCGCCTGTTACGCAAGATTTTATATAATTTTGCAACTTGAGACTTGAGATTTGGAATATATTTCCTAGTCAGTTATAAAGTATTGAGTTGATTTGGCTTTTATAACGTCTCTTATACCCTGAACCCACTGAAAATGGCGAAAAAGGGTATAATGATTTTGTGTTGACGTATAAGACAGGCAAAAGGAAGCATCTCCTGGCCCATTAAATATTTATATTCTTGATCAGCTTTAATAGCCAAGTCGATCTAGTCATGTCGGTATGTCTGTCCATTAGTCCGTCCGTATGTATCAACACGAAGTTCCCTGAACCTATAAGTCCTAGAGACTTGAACATAGGTCCTCTTAGTACCAGCGTAGTACAAGTTTGTTTCTGGTTTTAATGGCTAGAGTTTCCAAATATGACATTGTATTATACAATAGTATATACAGATCAAGTATCTTTCTTTTGATAAACCCCACCCTGAGGAGATCTTTCTTTGGTGCTGGTAAAACAATGTTCAGGTTATCCCCTAGTCCGGCATCTTGACTAAAATACTCTTACTTGCTTATAATATGAAATACTGAACCAACAAGTTGTTTCGCTCTGCGCAGTGCGCGAGGGTGTGTGTGTTTGTGTTTGATTAGAATTACGCAGCGAACAACAAGAACATGACAGTTGCTTAATATTAATGATATGGCATAAAATTTGCAGGCATCTACCACAAGCTGTTTGCGGACAAATCCTATGGCTTAACTGTGGAAACGATGGCCACCAATGTGCTGCCCCTGCTCATACCACACACTGTCAATCCGTCGTTGAATTTCGAGCAATATTGCTATCTGCTTGAGGTAACATATTTGACTACAAGTCAGCAAAAAATGTTCGGTAATTTGGAAATTTTGGATGGCGGTTGCCCCATGCCCCATATGTTCATATTGCAGGTGCTGCAGCAAATGCTGGAGGCCATCGATCGTCAGCAGCGTAACAAATTGAAGCTGGACAACCTATCGATGGCCTCGCCGGAGCGTCATCGCACATTGCGGCATCAGTACTCCACGGACAACATGAATGCCCCACCATTCAATATACCCAATTTGCGTATTGATCAGCGCAAGACGTCCAGTGCCGAGGATATGGCACGCAAGAATTCTGGTGGTAAGTGGAAAATCCAACAAGTGTGCAGATGTGCCAGCTGCTGCTGCTGCTGCGAGGAGGGGTATGACAGGTAGGACAGGTAGGCGTGGTAGTTGTTGATTGCATAATGAATAATGAGCTTAGCCGCAAGAGCAGCTTAATTGAACATTTTCATTTGAATTTCCATTGGGGCTTTCCATTTGATATCCATGGTACGTGACAGTTTAGCAGGTCGGCCGCCTAATCAGACCGTGTCCAGGAGCGCTCACTAATTTGTCAAACCGAAAATGAGCCGTGAGCAGCGGCATTTAATTGTGTTATGCAAATGAAAATTGGAAATTAAAACGAAAATGAAAATTATAATCAAAGCCAGCGAGGCGGCTGCCCGCAGCCCGCAGCCCGCAGCCACACGGTAGCCGGTAGCGGAGGCGGAGGCGGAGGCGGAATCGGGGATTGGGACGTGCTACCTGCACCTGCAACACTTAATGAACTTTCAACCTTAACGATGATTTATTATGATGTCCTTAATCGCTTGTAAACACAATGTCACGGCCTTTGGGCGTGCGTGTGAGAGTGGGGCAAACTTTTAATTTGACGCAAATGCACGAGTTGGATGCAAGTCAAAAAGTAGCTCGGTTTTTCGCACCCGCCTCACATTTCACGGCCCGTTGCAATGCCAATGAGACAAACGTGTCTGTGTGTGTGCGGCTTTCTCTCTGGTAAATTACGTGAGCCAACTGCATATTGCAAATTGACATGTTGTTGCCACGCTTTCCACTCAACTGCAAAGAGATTGGCTGCTGCAGCAGCAAGTGGCAAGGGGCGCTGCGGCAAGGCTGCGGTTTTTGTGGTTAACAGTAAACAAATACAATATGTTTACGATATATGGCCTAGCCGTGTATATGTCTGGGCCTTGTGTGTTTTACACGCTGTAGTTCGCCTGCTATCATAAACACATTCAATATTAACGCTTCATTGCATATGTTTTTGCGCTATTAAGTATACGCCTGGCTGGTTTCGTTCAGTTGGATTTTTAGCGTATATTTCATGAAAAGCTGAATTGATTTGCGAAAAGTAGTCTTATTTGCGGTATTTCAAGTTGAAATCCGGGCAAAACATATTATCTTGGAGGCTATGCAGAGACTTGATTGGGGCACTTTGCAGGCGGGTTATTAAGATTATATATATCTTATATATCTTAGGCAAAAGTGGTCATGGGATTAAAATGTTACTTAAGTCATGGACAAAATAAAATAAATAATAAATATAAATAAAGTAAGGATATCTAATACCATTGTAGACATTTGCAGATGTGTGAGAATAGAGAAGCTCGTAAATGCTGAGTTTGAAGAAAAATTATCGTGCAAACAAAATAGAGCATTTTGCCATACCAGACCGATCGTTCCTATGACAACTATAAGCTATATAAACTCGGCTGTTAATGCTGATTTGGAATATATGTTTATATTTTATGGGTTCGGGGACGTCTCCTTCTATGCGTTACACACTTCATGAGAAACTTATAATACCCTCTATAAGGGTATACAAAACAGAAGTAGAATTCGATTTGTATTCATTTATATTTGCCGCATGTGCTGCACAAGCAGAGCCAACAAATGAACAAGAAGTTCAACAAGTTTCTCCGATAAATGTCAGATAGATTTTTACACTGAAAAAATAAATTGATTTTTATTTAAGCGAATAAACGCATGTTGATATGGTTAACTTGTAATTTAACAAAGTGAAATTATTGAGAATATGTTTAACACAAAAAGGAGATTCGTATTAAGCAGAATTTTATTGATTTACCTTTCGCATTGAAGCGCGTTATTTTCTTTAGTAATTTTACGAATTTTTGGGCGTTCATAATTGAATTTCATGGGAAAGCACAATTTTTGTGAACGCAATTTCTGAATTAGATGGAAATGCCACAGTTGCAGCTCACTGTGTGCAAACAGTCAAGTTAATAACTTTTGATGCAAATTGCCAGCTGCATCAGCAGCAGAGGCAGGCGGCTTGGCTGGGGGCCGAGTGGGGTGGGGTGGGGTGGGGTACAGGGTGGGTGCAAGGTGCACAGGTACGAGTCACATGCAGCAGCCGCCGCAGCTGCAACCGCAGATTGTGCGTTTGTCCTTGACAATGACAGCGGAGCGAATGCACACACACACACAGACAGAGACAGACATGACATTGCCACACGTGGCCACATACTGTGGCAGGCACTGTGCTGCCGAATTGTTTTGGATTGCAGAACAACACATTATTAAACCTAATTAGGTGGCCACTGTTCACGATAATTGTAATTCTGCATAATGCACCTTTGCATATTTGTCCAGGCTCTGGCATGCTGGGCGGCTGGTGGTTTGGCTGCTCGCCATCGTCACCGGATAGCAATTTCCTGCGCGTCGGCAATGTGTTTCCCAATCGACGGCTCTCGGACAACACGCTGATGACACCAAAGATACGCATCGCGCCCTCGTGCGCCTCCTCGCCGGGCGGCACACCGGGCAGCGGCCTGCCCACCCGTCGGCACTCGAGCATTGGACCCCAGGAGCGACGCGGCTCCACCATCAATTTGTCACCGCCAACTGTAAGTTGTTTGTGTTTTTGGTGCTCGCGCTTACTCGTTTTGGATTCTTGTTTATTATTATTTGTTTTGCGAGCGCAATTTTGTTTTTCTTCTTGCTTCATTTGGCATTCGGTTCAGTTTTTTTTCTCCCAGTTTTGTGCTGCTGCACTGACCCTTGCTCTCTATTGTTTGTTTGACTGCTGACAGTCACAAAGGATACTTTCGGATATTTTATTAACAAAAAATGAAAAAAAAAATCTCCCTTTAATGCGCTTTCAGTTTTTCTGTTCCTTTACAATTGACTTTTCGAGTTCTTTTCCCCTGCCTTTATAATCGAGTTTTACTTTTCAATTTGTATTTACCCATAGCGCCTAGCGAGTAGCATATATAGCGTATTTAACAGTACAACAACAAAGTACAGTTGTCATCACAAAACTAAAGCTACAGCTATTTAACTTTAACTATAACAACAACAAAGCCGCTCAGCATTGCGCACATCTTGAGAACAACATGAACATGAGAAACATGCCGTTCTATATTATAATAATTATTTTAATTTCTATTTTATTTCCATTATATGATTATGAACTATTTTGTATGTTTATAAATACTTATGATCAGCTCATTTCCCGCAATGAATGATAAGAAGAAGATAACCAAAATATCAATTTGCCAAAACGCGCTAACACACGCTCTTTTATCTTATCTTCACTCTCCCGCCCCACCATTCGCTCGTCTCAACACAATTAAAATATCTAAAAAATAAAAATAAAACAACAACAAAACACAAAACAAATGTTGTCGCCGTCGCCGTTGTGTTTCTTTGCAACTTTCCTTCGCTTTCCTATAAACATGTGTATATATAAAACATATTATATATATATATATACATATACCATATATAGTACGGCGCTCGAGGTAGCTCTGGATCGAGTCTATCGGTGCCCTCCACCTCAGCCTATGTTGTAAGTCTAAAAAACACAGAAGTGATTTACAAATTGATATTCATATATTGTGCAACAAAATAATAACAATTACAACAACAACAACAATAACAACAACACGCTGTGCTTGGGTCCATTTGTAGTTGTGCAGCATCCATATTCAGAGAGAGCAACGAAATTGTCTTGTGGTGTTTGTTAATTGTTCTTGTTTTCATTGTGGTTGTTGTTGTTGTCGTCGTCAAGCAGTCAACATTTGCACGACATCAAACTCAACTTTGTACACAACTTCACACACACACACACAGCAACACGCACACATTGGCGCACGCACACATATTCATACACGAACGGCTGCTAGCAAAAGTATTTAGTTGGCCCCGAAATGTATGCTACGGTTTTTGTGTGTGTCCCCAAATATGACGGCCGGAAGTCGCTCGCTCGTACCAACTTGTTTCTGGCGCTCGCTCTCGCTCTCACTCTCTGTCTCTCTCTCTCTGTATCTCTGTTTCTCTTACTCACAAACTGTAAAACTTTTGCTCTTATTGAACATGTGCAACCGCAACTTGCAAGTCAGTTTTGGATATGAGTTTGAATTTGAATTTGAATTTAAAGTTGCATTTGAACTGTTGCCTAACTAGAATCTACAAATCGTATGCTGCCTGTCTCGTTCTGATACTCTCTGTACTTACCTTGACGTGCTGCCTGAATGGAAAATGTAACAGCAACAATTCGGTTTGATTGTTTTTTATTTACTTATTATATTTTTTCTTTTTCATTTATATTTGTTGCCTTCTGTCTATGTATTGAACTTTAACTAATTTGCAACTCTCTTCATTTACATTTTGTACAGTCATTTCTATGATTGTTGTTTCCGTATATATTCAAGAGGCTGTTCTCTTGCCTCTGTGGGCGTGGCAGGCCTTCAAACTGGCTGCTTATGCTAATGCAGTGTATATGAAAACGTTGACATCAACTGTTTGTTTGTGTAAATTCGAAACTTGACTTTTTTATTCTTTGTTCTTTATTTTGTATACGTTGTTGTGAAAATTTTGCATTTGTACATATATAAATATATATATTTGAAACCTGTTGAGAATTGTTATGTGAATGCAAAGGAGCCGTAAGTAAAGGTCAAATCAATACAAATTTCAAGAGGGTTTTTCTTCTGTGTGTCAACGTCGCTGGTTTCTAAAATGTGCATCGATTCTGTACTTTTTGCCGTAATTAAATGTATTTAAAATATTTTTATAAATTTAACACTTGCCTCGAAACAAGGCGAAATTTCAATTTGTATACTTGATGTTTCTGTACTATATATGAAGTCTTTATGTCTTTATGCTAAACTTGTACAAAATGAAGTTAAAAATAATTTATAAAAAAACAACAAAACAAATGGCGAATAGGAATTTGGAACACATTAAACACGAATGAAGCAGACATCCCACACATCCAACAATCCGAAGAATAAATAATTCGAAATAAAATATTGTTTAACTTAACTTATTCATTAAATGTCCCGATCGTGCTCAGTTGTTGATTTGATTTTGTGTTTGTTTTTGTATTTGTATTTTCTTGTAATGTTGCTTTGTCATTTCGACTGGTATATAAAACCAACACATACACACACTCGCTACACAAATACCATCACACAGAGCTATACATAAAAGTTTGAGTGTATTTCTAATGTTTGTGCTTTTTTCCCATTGCTGTTACTGAACTTCTCGTTAAGCGCGCATTTCACGCTGTGGACTACCCATACCTCAAATCATATAGAGCTGCTACCCACACACACACACACACACACATTACTATGCATATATGCTGTATTTATATCATGTGTGTATTTTCGTTTTCCCATTCCATGTACGAACAAAAAATATATATACATATAACTATATCGAAAAAAAAAACAAACATAAATCGAATAAATTAATACAATTTGCAGCTTGCACGGAGCATGATCGTGAGTACACGTTTCATTATTTCGGATTTTTTCAATTGAATTTTATTTGAATTTCGCATCTGCTCTCTGCTTTTAACTATTCACCACACACACACACACATTCACACACGCACACGCACTCAGACATGTGTATGCTGATGTTAAATTTTTATGTTAATGTAATTTGTATTTTGCGTTTGAAACGGCGCCCATCCTAACCAAATTTGTGCTCGCTGCGCGTTCTAATTGGATTCCATGTACATACGCGTACTCGATTGATTCATACCTGTTTACTAAGTATTCACTTAATATTCATATATATTTATGCTACAGAGTTTGCGCTGTGCTTATTCCTGGCTGTTGATTGGGCTCGATGCGAGCTCCATTATTTGATTTGTTTGTTCGATTGTTTGTTTGTTCGTTTGTTCGTTTGTTGCATACTCACATGTCCCGTGTATCAGCTTTGGTAAACACTCATTCACTCAGCTCAGCTGCTATTTAGGCACACTCAAAACTAACAACACTTTGTAATTTATTCAAGCACGAAAAACAAAAAAAAAAAAAAAAAATGAATAAGAACAACTCTTCAGATCGCACAGCTCGCAACTAAAATGAAGCGCCCATGGTGACAAGCTTTAACTAATCTTCCAAAGAAATCTCCTTTATTGTACTCCCAAAAACAGGGTGGCTCCATGCCCAACACATCGAGCAGTGTACCATTTCTGCTGTCGTCCAGTATGCAATCGATACGTTCGCGCCGTACATCGACTGTGCTGTCATCGGGTCCACTCGGCTCCGGTTCGGGCCTGTTGCAACAGTTGGGATCCGGCATGGTAAGACAATTAACTTCCGTATCCGGTACGGTTAGTCCGGTGCCGCTATTGCGGGTGAATGGTACGCGCAACAACAACAGCGTCCGAAAGTGTCCGTCACTCAATATAACATTCAGTCAATAATATAACCTGAACGAAATCGGCGGGGCCCAGCCTCCGGCTGATTACAACAATTACAATTACAATTACAACAATTACAACTACAACTACAGCTACAGCAATGTGCGGTACAGGGCGCAGCTACGCAACATGAATCTCAATCTGAATGCGCCAAAATAATAAAAACTAAAAAAAAACCCAATCGAATTGAGTCGAAAATTTCGAAATTGGTTGTAACATAAAAAAAAAGACAAACTGAACCAAATGAGAATATCACTAAAAGTTGTATGCAAAAATGGGGCAGAGGGTAAAATGAAGCAAATCAAATTATTATCAACATATTTACTATATACACATTTATTTATATGTGTACCTATAATTTACTATATATAGTTTAGTCATACGTACTCAACTACAATTAACAACTAACTAAAACACATTCAAGAAATGTGTACAAACCAAAAAAAAAATATGTTGTTTTTGCCAATTTTATTAACTATAGCATAAAACGCATTCGTAAGTGTACAATAAATGTTAATGTCGCATTGAAAACATATCTGATAAATCGTAACGAAAGTTATTTATCATATATACATACATATATATGTATACTATATACATATAACTAAAACTTATATTATGATTGTTATATTATCTACTTGGTAGCATATTATTATTATTATTATATGATTATTATAATTAAACCTACTTATTAGTTTTTGCTGCGTAAAATTCACTCAAAAGCAAAACACACACACAGTCACACTCACACTACACTCACATCGAAATTTGAACAAATTTTTTATTATTCAAGAATTGAATAAAAATTAATGCCAATTTTTTTGGGCTCTCATTATAAATTGTGCGCCGTGTATATTTTGAATTGAATTATTCATTACAATTGATATTTATAACTCACACAGACACAGACACACACACACACTAACACACGCGCATATTGCAATTTAAATCCCAAAATGTAGTTAAATGTGCAAACGTGATGTTAGCTTTGTTTAAATTCGTTGTCATTGTCGTCAAATCAATTGTTATTGAGAATTAGTATGTACTTAAGCCAAACAACAACAAATTAGTTAAGCACATGCTATTCTTTTGTTTTATTATTTTTTTAATGTTAAACAAATGACACTTTAGCGTAGTTAAGTTTAAGCTGACAGTTGTGACAATCGCTGCATTTGCTTTTTTCCCCCAGAAAGTGGTTTATGGCTGGGTATGCTCGATAGTTGAATGTAAATATTTAATCAATTTAATTTAAAAGTTTGTTGAATCATTTGCCTACATTTTAAGCCTTAAATTGCATGTATTTTGCTTGCAACTGATTTCGATCATTCGATTGAAACGAAGCTTTTACTATTTCAATTTGCGTTCCAAATAACATAAAAATACATATCGAAGATTTTAATCAGTTAGCTGATACTCTACCATTACTAGGTCGATTTATTAGGTGAGCGTTATTGGAATCGAGGAAAAGCAATGTTTTCCGAATGCAAATGCTCAAAATGTGGAATATGCGGCACTGTGATAAATGTGAATCATTAACTAATGCTGTACTAAAATGTGGCTGAATCCATTCGAATGTCCACACAACTAGGCAGAAATGCTAATTAAGAATCGGTAGGATTCGATTCCAAGACAATTCCTTAATAAATCGACCTCAATTTGAACAACACATTAAATGCATGCTCACGAATTTGTTAAGCTCAGTTCTTATGTCTAAACTACATTGTGATTGTCTACGAACAGCACAAGAGAAACAACTAAATACACTCATAAAACTCGTACTGTACCATATTCGTATTCGTATTCGTATTTGATATGTACTTGTATATACATATATTTATATAAATGGAATTGTTATGTATTTACTATTTACTATTTACTATTTACTTGACTTGCCATTTTACTTTCTGCCCATCTGCATTGCACAAGAATATATATATAGTACTATATATCTGGAAATACAACTAACGCAGAGATAAATATTAAAATCTATATCAACATATATATATATATCTCAAAGCGCCAAACAACTGAATATCAAGAAGTAAAGATAATGAACATAAGTACCTTTAAGTACACGGAACTTTCTACACTCGTATTTGAATGACTGACACTGAAGACGTGGTCCTCGAGCTGAAGGCGCTGCTAAACTAATTTATACTTTAAACTAAAACTAAAACTTAAACAAATAGTTAAACTACTTGCAACTAAACGTATAAACTGACTAACGATGTTGATATGCATTTGTATTTCTAACCAACTCAATTTACAATGAAATCATTGCGAATTTATTGTACTCGTAATTGCTGTTTATCTAGATTATATTCGTGAATCGTATTTTGTATAATTAATGCTATGTATTTAACGATAATGTTGCTTTGGCTGCCTTTGTGCTTGTTTTTATGTTGTAAAAAGCTTCCTCGCCCCCCTTCTCCCTTTCATACACTCTAAATATACATATGCTGTGTCCCCTTTGTGTGTGTGTGTGTATGCTTGCCTAGCTATTTGTTTGATTTTCAATTCATTTTATTTTTGCTACACACATCTATTGTTATCGTAAGTCATATATTTAAACTTCGAAATGTGCCTTAAAAGTTTAGAGTTTTCGCATTCTGTAGCTGCATACAACATATACAACAGATGCGAGAGAAATCGAATACTTTTATCAATATATATATGTATATTTATGGATAAACGTTAAGTATGCTATAAGTCGAGGAGAGTCAACCAAAAAACCCAAATATCCACACACACACACACCCCTTCCCCTCAACAGTTGTACCTTAGTAGTGGTTTTGTAGACATACACAATCAGACACAAACACATACGCACACACACCCACACACACACACACAGTCACACACACCAGTACCAATAATAGCCGTAAATAACTATCGATGTGTAGTCCAACCCAAGGAACCCGCGATTTGTAGTCGTATAATGTGTGCATGATCTTGTACCTAGTAACAAATCCCTTAAATCAATCAATCAATAAAAAAACCAAGTGCCAAGTATTTTAAACATCCTGAAAACACAAAAATAAAACCAATAATCGTTGTCCTTTTATTATTATAAATATTCTATATATATACTTGTAATAGTCATGTGTATACCCCAGTTTTCTACTCTCCACATATCTCCGGTTCCTTCGTTGTGATCCATGTACGTTTTATATTCGTATTATAATCGGTGTCAGCTACTCTAGCATACATATAATACAGCCGTATTCAGTATTTATCGGGCTATAGCCGAAATTCCCCTCTTTGTAATCGTAGTTAAAAATTAAACATCTCTCTATAGCTTATATTGAAGATCGAGTCAAAATCAAAATTGATGGCCTAATTATTTTGCAACAACTTTATTACAGTATCAACTATTCTCCGGACGTAACTAAAATGATACAAATTAAATGAATCTATATATTATATATTTTTAAAGCAATTTCGGTCCATTAATTAAACACCAATAATGAACTTATATTAGCGCTATATGTATACAGTATTTACACAATACAAACATTGTAAACGTCAGCCAAAAAACAACAAAAAAACAAAACAAAAAACAAAAAGAAATTTCAATTAATTCTAAATGTTATTAGAGAGCAAATTTGATGTCATCCGAGCAACAATTACTTAATTACAACATAAATATATAAACAATTTATATGTATTTAGAGTACCCGAAATGTGTTAAACACAGTCCAAAAGAAACAAAGAAACAAACAAAAAAACACTAAAAATATTTGCTAAATGCAATCAATATTTATATATACACTATACTCATACATATATTATATGAAATTAACTACTACCTAGGCATTGATTCATGTCGACCACATGAATACACTCAAATCTATTGCATACATACATAACATACATATATCGTATACAGAACCATATCAATATTTTTCGAATTATTTAAACTGCATATCTACTCAAAGCTTACCACATATATCTGTGTAACGACATATATTAAAATATTCTACAAGATCGGAAAACCTTTCAAATGCAACTTCCAAAATGACAAACTATCAAATCTGGAAATGATTTAAACATTAATTATGTTTTCCGATCTAAACTGAGCGCCGCTTTTCATTTGTTAATTTGCAATTGCATTGGACACTTGGAAGTGATAAGGAATAACATTTATCTACCTGCTTATATGAAGGAAATCATGTACCTAGAGCGTACCTACTTGACACCAGCCGATTCGAACAATAGAGCAATCAATATATCCATACTTTAACATTGTTATAAAGCATATAGCACACAATATTTTTGATGGCAACCAAACCAAACAAGTTGAACATTGAACACACACGATTTACGACAAATCTGGACCAAGTGTCATCCATAACTCAATCCCCCAAACAAATAACCCAAAAATGTTTAGAAAACTGCTACTAAGGTGAATACACACACAGTATCCACACAGTATCACAGTCTATACAGAGTCTCTATAGTAAGCTATTATATTTAACGGTCTGTAACTTTAACTACTTGAGTATTGTGGAAGTCAATTTGTATAGTTGAAATATATATATAGTACATCAGAGGGCAGAGTATAATTGATATACATATATCTATATATTATATACATACATTGATTGATCGGCAAACAGATCGTAAAGCACAAAAACTCTTTAAGCTTTAGGAAAAAAAAAACAAAAAAGAATCAACCAAATGCTTTCAACAGCAGCTTAAACAATTATTATTGTTGTAGTAGTTTAGCTTAGAATTGATAAAAACCAAAATATATATATGAATTTATATATAAATATATATGTATGTATACAAGACAACTTTATCTAAACATATTCGTATGATCAGTGCTCTGTGCATTATCCAAGCAGAACAACACGAACGGGACAATCAAAATTCTACTGACGCTCTTACTTTATGTATTGAGTTAAACAATATGACGAATTTACGTTGTTGTTGTTGTTGTTATTGTTATTGTGTTTGTTGATTTGTTGAGTAAACATTAATTGTGTCCACAATTGAATAGGTTTAAATCCAGCAAACAATCAAACTGCATCAAATCTCAGTTGCTTTTTAGTTGTGCGCATATTTTGTGTTCGGTTTAATGTATTTCATTTGGGGTCTAACAACAAAGCATATCGACCTTATTTTCTAGTGTTTAAACGTATAAATATTAGATTAACTTAATTTTAATTAATGTTTATGTAAACAACAAAATAAAAAGGGGAAAACCAAAAGCTCAAACTGGACTGAACATTTAAGAATTATATTATATTGTATTTATTATAAACATAATTTAAAAGAAACCAACAACAAAACCAAACTAAATGTAATATTAAATGGGTATTTATATATGTATGTAAATCTGATTGTATGTTTGTATGACCACTTCAGTTTTTGTATGTGTGACACCTTACAAAAGAAAAACAAAAATGAAAAAAACAAAAAAAAACTAAAAAGAAAAACAAAAAAAGAAAAACCAAAGGCGTATCAAATCAACTCTGTCTCTTGTGATCTATTGTGATGCTATGAGAGTCCAAGTAGCACTCAACTCTTTTTATGCCTATTAACGTTTTAAACAATACTCTACACTTTTCTATACTCTAGACTATGAAATGAAATGATTGGCATAACTCGCTTGGGTGTAGCGAGAAATCTTGATAACAATCATGAACAATAAATGATAAATCAGAGAAAATCTTAAGCCAAATTTAAATACTACTTATATACTCTTTCATATACACTACTTCAAGTAATTGTGTGAAACTAATGAAAATTCGCGAGCCCCTTATTTTAGATTTTAAATGTGCTAACTACTGTTTATACATAGAAATGTACTTAATTATGTATGTAATTTATCTAAAAACAAATAACAAACAAACAATACGTACAATGGACAAGATATACATGATGCAGGCAGTCTATACACCTAAGTAGGATTGAGATTGAGCAACTTTAACAGTTAAAGGATTGTGACAATGTACGCGTACAATTTAACTCGATAAACAATTGAATTTAAATGTTTAATAAATATGTGTGGAAATGAATTCGTTGAATAAGTTTATTTCTATAAACCCTAAATCTATTCATCTAAAAATAATGGATCTAAACTGCATTTGTGTGGCTCCGCTTCATAGTTGTACTCTTGGCGATCAAATAAACTCTGTCCCATGCGTCGCGCCACATTATCCGACTGATCATTGTTGGCTTCATCTATGAGCAGCTGTAAGCGAGGTTTGGTCAGTATGAATCCAACAGGATTACTCTTATTTGTTATACCTCAATTTCACGGGACAGAAACGCTTCGCTGGCCGCGCTTAGTTTCTTTTGTGGTTGCCCAGTTAGCGCGTTCTCCACAAAGCCGTATACCTCTCTAAAACGTATACATAAACATTAATGTTCACTTAATTTCAATTTGCAACTTGCCCCATATTGACGCCACCCAGCTGGGCCGGCTCTGGCTGCGCCTCATTAAGCACTATGGCGTTCACCACGGCTGCTGCTTCGTATTCGCATAGCTTTGACAACTCCGCCGATTTCAGCAGCTGCAACCACTGATTGATGTGGCTGAGGCTGACTGAGTCACATTCCTGATTCACACGTGTCTCTGCATCCTTATAGGCTCGACATATGTAATCTGCGCATAATAATTTGATTATTTAACTTTAAAGAAGCACACTTTGAACGCTTACCAATGACATTCTCTTGATTATTTCGTCGTGCCCATGCGCTTTTCTCCAGATTGGCACGCGTACAGCCATGTTGTTTCAAGTACTCCAGCACAGCGCGCTTGGCATGCTTTGTTACAATGCAATCTGGTTTGTTTTTGCTTGAATCATCTTCATCAGTCTTAATGGGTATATTTGGGTCCATTTTAACAGTTGTAAAAATCTGCTTGTTTGTTGACGAACAGCTGTTGCGCCTGAGAGCTGTCCACTCGTTGAAGTAGCCTTTCCAGCCCTGGTAATAATTTCACAATTGCACTATGCGACAATGAATGTTATTAATTTTCTTGTTGTTTAATAAAATATGAATATGCATGGTTTGTGGATTTTTGGCCGGCTGTTTTAAAAGACAATTTGCTTCTTTTTTCTCCAATATATTTCGTATCTTTTCGAGATTCGGGAGAAAAACAACGCCGGCTCAAAGCCCAACAGATGTATAAATTGTTTGAATTTACCGTTTTTCAATGAAAATGACTTAGAATTATTTTTAAATATAACTCTACAAATGGTCTTGATGAATAAATGAAACATGCATTGTTAATCAACAGAAAATGTGCGCTTGCTCATTCTTTCAGTGTATGATGCCATTTACATTCGTCTATTTTGTTGCTTAGTGTTATTTGCACATATCGAGCAGTGTTAGAATACGAGCGAGAGTGAACGGACGCGCGACGGCACTGCCCTCTGCCACTGCCAGCAGCTAATTAACTCCTTTTGTTTCAAAAGAAATGTTATCATAAAAGCAATAATATTTAGCTAATTTTATAATTATACAACAAAGTGCAATACAAATTTAATAATTTGCTTTTGAAAAAATAAGGATCACACTTGCAATTGCGTCGCTTTAACGTGATCAAAGCGCACACACAAAGGAAAACAACGTCAATCCAGTGACTCAAAGTGACTTAAAAGTGACTCATTGCGACTTCCATTGCCATTTCCACTGCCATTGGCACTATCACTGCCTGTTGCGCAGCATCCGCATTGCGTTCAACGAACAAACGAAACAAAATAGAAATAGAGATTTTTCTACTCATTGTCCCCGACCTCAAGCTGCCATAAAAGGAAGAGATCGTTGCACAGCATGGAGGGAGAGCGAGAGCGAGATCGAGAGGTTGGCATGAAGCAGAAGCATCGCCAGCACATTATGAGAAACATGGACAAGCTAATCAAATACACTAGCTACAAGGATTTAGTGGCGGAAACAGTGCGCAGGGGATTAATCTCGCCGGTGATGCGTCGGAACATTGAGGATCTGAACGAGAAGGGGCACGACATGACCGAGGAGCAGGTGCAGTTGGAGCTGCTTAGAAAGTACTTCATCAAGATCACAAAACGTGGACCCACTGCCTATGCGGAGCTAATGGCTATCCTACGAAGTCTGGGCTACAGCGAGGCTCTGCGTATACTCGAGGAAATGGACCCACAGGGCAGCGAAATCCCATTCCTCTCCTTGAGTCGTATGCATAGCAACAAGTCCGCCGACATTGTGGATACCTGTCTCAGTGACCCACCCGTCGAAAGGCCCAGTGTCAGCAACGTGCGTAAGCTTCTCGTGAACCATTTTCAATTGAAACTGAAATATTTCTTTTGCAGATATCGGCAATCCACAATGATGCAGATGGTCCGCTGGTGCCCTTTGAGGAGCCGGTCCAAGGCAAACAGCGCATTGTGGTCAAGTCAACACGCATTCATACCGACGACATAACTGGCACATATCCAATGAAATCTCAGCACAATCGCGGCGTGCTTCTTATAGTTAACATAATCGATTTCTCGAACCCCGGCTTAAAGCGCAAGGGCGCAGAAGGGGACGGCGACTCGCTCATTGATATCTTTCGACAGATTGGCTTCAAGATATTCTCGTATAAGAATCTGGATCAGAGGCAGTTCTTCAGTACGCTCTCGGCACTCACCAGCTCCCACTTTGTGCGTGATACGGAATGCTTTGTCATGGTGCTAATGACGCACGGCGAGCGCGCCGGGGAAGTGGACAGAGTGCAATTTAGCGATGGCTCCCTGGCCGATGTGAAGGCAATCATCAGTAATTTCCAGTCGGATCTGTGCCCCAATTTGGTCCACAAGCCTAAGGTGCTAATATTTCCATTTTGCCGTGGCGATAATCCCGATCATGGCCAGATTTTGCCAAAAGTGATGAGAATGCGCATACAAACCGACGGCGTTCCCTTTGACAATGTGCCAACATTGTCGGATATTTTGATTTGCTATGCGAGCACTCCAGGCTTCGAGACGCACCGGGATACCGAAGAAGGCAGCTGGTACATTCAGAAGTTCTGCGATACGATGGCCGAGCATGCACACGACAGACCGCTGGAGGATATACTAAAGAAGACGCACTCGATAGTGGGCAATATGCGCACCAAGTATGGCCATTTGCAGACCGGCGTCTTCGAAGGTCTGGGCTTCAATAAGAAGCTTTACTTCAATCCAGGATTCTTTGTCTCCGACTAGCCTAGATTAACGAGCACAAATGAGAGCATTCCCAATCGACTGATTTGCATTTATACATGTCGTCCCTATTTAAATATGTTGACGTTGATATTTCTAGTTGTATTCAATTGTATGTTCGTGTGCTGTCCGCTCCATATCTGCCAGTACGAAATACTCGTATGTATTATTTTTATAAATACAAACTATATTTTGTATAACATAAGTAGATATACTATATATATGTGTTATCTTAATACTAGGGCGCCTTATCAGGCCGTAGCTAGACCGCCTACTCGTCGCATTCATCGACCTCTTCCAAATGCGACAGCTGCAATTTGCCCGCTGCGCGAGTTTGACTGCTGCTTTGTTGTTTTTTGGCTTTTCTGGATGACTTTTGGCCAATTACATACTCGGGCATCACCAGCTTGGAGCCGCGCAGCTGTGGCTTGTCTAATTCAACATCCTCCACCTCATTGCTCTTAAGCTGCTTGAGATTGCGATTTAATTTGCTTGTCTTTTTGAATTCGATCTTGTGGGCTGCGCCTGTTCCTCCGTCATTCATATCCTCGGTGTCATCTGAGTCTCCATCGCGCTGTGAGTCCATTTCCCTTAGAAAAGATAAGGCCGCTGCCGCGTTGGTCTGATCGGATATGTCAACATCGGAGAGTGAATATTTCTTCCACTTGTGCGGGTTGATCTGGTAGTCGGGCGTCTTTCGCGGCTTTAGGCAACGTCCAATGGGCAGCTCTGGCTTCTTGAATATACTCTCCTTGCCTCGCAGGCGGCGCAGCTTCTCATCCTCGACTTCATTGCCCCCCTCAATGCTGCGTCCCTGGCGATAGTTCATCACCTGGCTCCTGTTTTTAGTGTTGTTGGCCCGCTCCAGGGCGCTTACTGTGTACGGCTTCGCTCTGCTTTGGTCTAGGGGCGTGCCCTTCAACTCTTTGCTGGCGTCGTCGAGGCATGCAAAAAGTGCATCACGTTTTGCACTAAATTCTTGCATTTTATTGTTTATTTGTGAATTTTTTGTTATAATTTAAAATAAGAGCTGCCAACTTGTTTGGGGATGCACAGCTGTTTGAGCCGACTGCGAATACGGCATTTTCCAACACTTGTCAATGCCGGTGTGTAGTTAGTGAAGGAAAAGTGTGCGTGCTCCGCGAAAAACAAATAAATTTCTAAGGAATCAAGGTGGATATGTTTATAAATTAACATATAAATGTTTTAGTTATATTTGCTTGTGGGTATGCATTGTAAGAAGCACTACCAAGTGTTTTCCATATAAACTAATAAACCGAACCCAGCCTGAGACTCCATGTGGCTGGGCGAACAGACAGCTTGTGAATCAGGGAAATGGTTGTGTGGTTGATATTATGTTATGAGTTTCGATAGATTAATGAAAGATAACTAAAATGAGCTTCGTCATATGCAAATGTTCATCATTTATGCATACTTTTGTATTTTTGTGGTAATTTCAATGCTTAGTGTGGGCCGACCGATGCACCCCTGCGTGCAGTGTTGTAAATGTTACACTGACAGCTGCGTGACAGCTGTTTTGTATTTGGAAGCGAGTATTTCGTCAAAACGAGGCGGAAACGTGAACAAGTTTAGTTTTTATATACATATATTTGCTGGGGACTAAATGTGCGCAAACTATTTGCATATTTTGGACTGTGATTATTTGTGATATTTAGAATGTCCTTGCAAACGGGTCTGGCATTCATTTTCACAATATTAGCCTCCGTTAGCATTGTAGCTGCCATTATTTTGTTGGGTAAGGCAGCTGGCAGAGAATCGAAATTGGAGCATGCACTGGAACCGACACACGATATAATATATTTAACTATTCCGCAGGCTGGTTTTTGATTTGGAAGGCCTTTCTCTCAAAATTTCGTCTGGTGCGCGAACTTTTGGGCCAAGAGGAGCCGGAGGAGCAGCAGCTTGTCGGTGGGGAGCAAAATCAAAACGCACGAGCACGAAAAGCGCGACGTGACTAAATAACTACAAACGCGCACGCACACACACACACACACACTCACACAATTACATACCCAAACAAACTGTATAAATCGAAGAACCGCCAAGATGAACATACGTTGCGCCAAGCCCGAAGACCTCATGACCATGCAGCACTGCAATCTGCTGTGTCTGCCGGAGAACTATCAGATGAAATACTATTTTTATCACGGCCTGACCTGGCCCCAGCTGAGCTACGTTGCCGAGGATGATAAGGGCGGCATCGTTGGCTATGTGCTGGCGAAAATGGAGGAGCCCGAACCTGGTGAGGAGAGCAAACACGGACACATTACCTCGCTGGCGGTGAAGCGTTCCTATCGTCGGCTCGGCCTGGCCCAGAAGCTGATGAATCAGGCCTCGCAGGCCATGGTCGAGTGCTTCAATGCCCAGTACGTCTCGTTGCACGTACGCAAAAGCAATCGCGCTGCCCTCAATCTTTACACAAACTCGCTCAAGTTCAAGATCATCGAGGTGGAGCCCAAGTACTATGCGGACGGCGAGGATGCCTATGCCATGCGCCGCGATCTGTGCGAATTTGCCGATGACGACAAGCCGAAGATCAAGGAGGGCGGCGACGAGCAGTCCTCCACCGAGAACAAACACACACACAGAGGCGGCGCACACAATCACAGCGGCCACGATGGTCATTGCTGTTAAACGGAAAAACCATGAGATAAAGAGGACAGGAAAACACAATAAAGAAAATGCATGCGGTATGCATTTTTTAGATGCATTTTTGTGCATAGGTTTTGTATTTATGTAATAAAGGCATAAAACGCAATTAAATTTAAAGGAAATGACAAAAAGGCGGATAAACTTTTCTTGCTACATTTATTTAGGTGGTATTCCCCTATATTTGTTTTGGGTTTCTTTGAAAGTTTGCTGCTGGTGCAGCAGAGCGGAAACGTTTCCAAGTGTTGTTGACTTTCGCGCCAAAACTTTTTGGGTGCGCTTCAATTATCTTTTCAAACTTTTACGCAGTTTATTTGTGGGCAACTTAATTTTATGGCTGCAACTGTTCCCAGCTGCCGCCTTCCAGTACCATACAATGCGAAAAGCTTAAAAATATCCCCCTATTTTGGTACATTTCAAGTTAGAGAGGCAACAGCGCCAGCGCAGAGTTGAGCCGCCGCAACAGCTGTTTGGGGCTTGGCACGTGCACTCTTTTGGCGCCAAAGCAAAACAACTGAGAGAATGTCCTTGCGACTGCGAGAGCTGTGCCCACGAAATCACAGCTGTGTTTTGTCAAACGTCAAAGTGATGCTGCTGCTGCTGCCGCTTTGGCTTCGGCTCGCTGAGCTCTACGTAAACGACGTTAGTTCGTGAGGCGCTGGCTGAGCGGTAACGTCACGGTCACGGGTAACGGTTAAACTAAAACAGCTGTAACAATTTCCAACGACAAGCAAAACGTGCTTTGCAAAAATGTATTTAAGGCAATTCATTTTGCGCGAGTATCAAAACAAATTCTAATTTGTCAACACTACGGCTAAACAAAGTTGTTACCCAGTGCTGCAAACTTCTGTGCACATAAACGAGTGTTGACTGTGTGCGTGTCGCGCGTAAAATGTAGAAAGTGAAAGCGAACACTGCGAATCTCCTTTAAAGTTGAACTAAAGTGTATTTAAAGTAAAAAATCATTTGAATCAATAAACCAAAAGCAGGCGCCAAAAAAAGAAATGTTGAATTTATATTACACACGCACAACAGCGAAAAGCGGCGCCCACTTTGCGGCAAATGTGGCAGAGCGAAATGCTGTGTGAAATGTTTATGTGAGAGATGTTGTGAGACAAAAAGGACTCGAAAGCAGCTGTTATTGTTGTTGCCCGAACGGGGTCAAAAGTTCGTGTGTAAGTGAGCCGGACCCCCTCTGTCTGCCTAATTTCGCCGCATCCACTAACTAACAGCACTAATACTTGTTAAAAGCCCTCAAGTGCAGCTGCCTGTGTGCGCCTGTGTGTGTGTGTGTGTGTGTGTGTGTGCGTGTGAGTCAGTAAGTGTGAAAGAGAGGCCAGAGCTAGCTGGCAGAAGACGCTGTCCAGACAAAAGCGTCAGACAAGTGCGCCCAAATAGCCTACGGATACACACATACAGCTAAAACACAGCTGCACATGCAGACACTATAATCGTATGTGTGTGTGTGTGTGTGTGTGAAAGACAAACTAGGCCAATTCGCGAGCGAGACAAAACCATAAAGCAAAGTGCAACAAAAAGTAGCAAACAAAAAAAAAGAATATAACTAAAAACTTCTTCTGCCACATTTGTCAATGACTGAGGCCAACGACTCGCGTGACTTGGAGCATAACAATAACCGACCCCCGCTGGGGCAGCCACCTCTCCTCTGTCTAGCTGAAGGTAAGTCGAAAGCCGCTTCACTTCAAAGCAAACTCCAACAGCGGGTGTAATGACATTTGTCAACCCATATAATGCCAGATGCTGACACCGTCGCGCACTATTCCACAAAGTTATCATCATCATTATCCTTATCATCGTCATTATGGTCTTTGTCACTGTCAACAGGAGTTGCTGCGTCTGTCACGAGCAGCAGCAGCAGCAGCAGCAGCAGCGGCAGTCATCGCATCATTTTTAAGCAAACATTTGCTTGCCACTGCTGCTGCTCTCTGCTCCTGCTGTTTCTTCTTCTTCGCCCTCTCCTTCTTATTTCGAGTGCTTAGTACGTGTTGGCTCAGAGGATGTCAACAACTTTTGCTTGCCAAGCGGAGATTCCTTTGCACTCGCCCGTCACATGTTTGGGCGCTTGTTTGTGTCATGCTGATGAAACTTTCAGGGCGCTGCCAAAGAGAATGGAGGCAGGCGTCGGCCGATGGCCGTCTGTCAAAACTCTTTGGCAAAATGGCCGGCCACGCGGTTTCCGTTTCCGCCGCTCAAATGATTGATGCCCACCGCACGCGCGCCACTAATTAAAGTTATTTAGCTAGTCGCCAGCCTCATTCTCATCCTCATTCTCGTCGTCGTCGGCCTGGCAGTGCAATTTTTCATTCTTCCACTGGATCTCGGTCTCGCTTTGAGTGTTTACGGCTTCGATTCAATTAAACAACTGGGTCAGCTGCGGCCACATTGGCAATGGTCAACAGCCAGCCTCTAGTTCTTGGGCCATTCCGACTGGGCAAAAAATCAACTTGCAGCGTAATTAATTTCCACCATGGGCTATCAGCGACTGCATCCTGCTTAACGGCTAAAAAAAAGAAAACCTTTTGTGTGAAAATTGCATATTTTAACAGCGCGAAGTGGAATTAAATTGTGGAAATGCCAACGGATGAAAATATAATGCATGCTAATGCAGTCGAATGGCATGTTAATTGCACATATAGCTTACCAAATGTGATAAATACGACTAGGTGTATGAAAACGGAAGAAAGCCAAGAGAGAAATTAATTATAGTTAGTGGAAATAGGAATATAAACAAGGATAATACATTACAAACAAACTTGTTAAGGAAAATAAAACTAGAAATGCAAATTGGGATTGGGTAAAGATTGGGATGAAGCCAAAAAGAAAAGAAAACACACATTTTTTAAATTCAATTAACATATTTTAAATGGGAAGAAATGGAAGACTCTCAGGAACAAGAAGGGAATATGGGATGATTAATTGAAGGAAAAGAAGAAAACTGGTTCAAAAAGGGAATATGGAATCAGTAAATGAAGAATAAAGAGTATACCTAGAGAAAACTGATACATAAATGGAATATGAAATGATTAACTGAAGAAGAAGAAAAAAAAGTAAACCCGGAGGAAACTGGTCTTTGTTTAAAACGGAGCTAGCTTTGCAGGACCTGCTGAAAGAACTTTCCTGGTAAAAGAACCTTCGAATTGCTAAACAGTTTCGGGAATTGGTTAATGTGCAAAAGCAAAGTTTTCGCAGCCTATTTTCGAAAAGTCAACCTCTGACATGCCCTCATGTCAGTTTCATCAACCGTGTTGCGCTCTTCGATCGAAATATCCGGCCGAAAGCAACAGACCGAACAAATTGCTGAACCCACACTATTTGTTGGCTTTGTCCAAGGACGTGTATTTATGAATTTGGACTTTTCGCTTGTTTCGCTTGTCGTTTCTTGCTTGTGGCTGAAAAACATGAAATGTCCATTAAACAAGCACTTTTTTTCCTTACTGTATCTGTGGGTTGTTTATGTGGCGATTAGTTCCGGAGGGTGGTCGAACGGGCGTGTCAGCGTTAAAGGAAAATGCTTATTCATTTAAAAAAAAAAAAAAGGGAGTGCTGCAGGGGAGCAGCTGAGGTATTCGCTAAGTTTAGCAACATAATTTTGCAGCAATGAATTGGACTTTGCGTCTAATATTTATCTGCCATCGATTTAAATGTCAGGCGGAATTTGTCCTGCGGGAGTCAAGTGTGAAAACTTTGCGACAAAGAACTTTCTGGCACCCAAAAAAGAAAACACACTCACACACACACAGCTAAAGTTGATCAATGAAATTAAAAAGATTTATGATTTTGAGTTGTGCAAGTTTCAAATGAATAAATCCCCACACACACACACATACGCACACACACACAGATACAGTCAAGGCGCCGACGCTTGGGGAGTTGAAGTTTTCAAGTGTCATCTGTCCCCTGATCCTGCCCGTTCCCCCCTCAATTACTTTGAATTGCAGCCATTTGGGTTAATGCGCGTACCCAGGTTCACACTCTGGACAGCTCATTGAATTTTTGCCAATAAAAAGGGCAAGCGACAACAAAAAAATGCAAATAAAAATAAAAACTTATAATAATCAGCAAACAAAAGCGCGTTACATTCCATTAAAATCGAAAGAGGTTCGGGTTCAATTTTTCGGGTTGCGCAAAAGTCAAGTGAAATACAAATTATGTTAATTTAAAGTGAAGGTTAAAAAAAAAATGTCCAAAAAGTTTAAACGCATTCAATGCACACGAGGCGAACAAAAGGCGTTCTGGGCTCAATAAAAGCCGCACTTTCCAGCTTCAGTTAGCCGAATTTTCAAGTAGTCTGGACAGCTACAACCGCAACCCAACACCCTACTCCTACACCCTCCCAATCTCAGCAACCTTAGTGGACCCGCTTCCGGCTGCTTTTGCGGCTGTGACTTACGGTTTGTTTGAACAATGCCCCGTCGGGTTCAAGTGGCCAACTCCAGAATGAAAAGGGAAAATGGGCCACAGTAACAATAGGCCAAACGGGCTATGCTCCTCCCGCTTCGTTCCTGCTCCATGCTTTGGCACAGTTAAGGCTTGGGCACGCTAATTTTTGATGCAGCCGGCCACGCCCACAAATAACAAGAGGAATTTGTTTGCATTTGTCTTTTAGAGAAATTAAATATGTTCCGCGTTCAAGGGTTAGAGAACTGCTGCAGCCAGATGTTTCTTTAATAGACCTTCACACCAGCACCCACTCAGACACTCACACAAGCACACACACACACACACACACACGCACAGCAAGACGAAAGTGTGACAAAAAAAGGGGCGTAAAAAATAAACAAGTCGCTTGTCGGTTGCCGAGCCCTTTGCTTATCGTTGCCGTTAAAGTTACCGTTAGCCCGGAAAACACTGTGAGAAATCAGTGCTGAGAACGCACTTGAGTCCTTTCATTTGCCTGGATATCAAGTCTGTGACATCAATCATGGTTTGGTCGTTCATGGTGCGAACCTCGCCTGCAGGTTGGTTCTCTTGATGGAATTTGACAATGAACTTCAGATCGAAGACCTTAGTTGATCGAGATACAAGATACCTTTGACATTAGTGATTGCTTCTCCCAAGCTAAAAATAGTATATAAGAGTCATAATAATATCAACCCTGAACCTAGGCAACTCATACATTTCTCATAGTGTAGACATCCTACGCTTTAGGCGTTGCATATGGTGGGGCATCACACGACCCGCATATCGGCCGGCTGCCGTTTGCCTTTTGGCAGTGCCCTACAACAACAACAACAACAACAAAAACACAGTCAGCAACAACATAAAGCGCGCCTTGGCAAATTTAAACAACGTAAATGGAAATGGCGTTGAAGGGAATAAAAAAATGTCACGCATACGCCGTGTCGAACCTTTTTCATTTTTTTCTATATATTTTCCTTTTGCCAGTTCGTTGCCTCAACGTGCTGCAGAGCGGCACCAAATGGTGGCAAAGCAATATCTGGCTTCAAGCTTGGCATTTGCCGCTGCTGCAAAACTATTTGCGGGCTCTGCGGCTGGCGCTGTCAAAGGCAATCGGCGCCAGGCAGCCAAATCAAATGCCCAATTTGCGATATTGCGCATACGCCGCGTGTGTTGCGTATGGAAAGAAAAAGTCAAGGCAGCGACAGTGAGAAAGACGGAGTGGGAGAGGGAGAGGGTAACGAATGGAAATGTTAGGCAAGCTTTTTTTCGTTTCCGTTTTTATAAAGTAATGCCGTTTAACTCTATCGACGGGGACAGCAATTCGTTTGACTATGCCTCAATTTGCTGTCTATTTGTCGGGCAAACATTGCGCGGCCACATGCCACGCCCACAGGCAGGTCAACAATTTCAATTAGGCGACGTCTAAAAATGTGCCAAAACATTAGCGCGCGTTGCAGCAGTTAATTAAAATTTTTTTTTTCATTTTGGTTTTATGGTTTTAGAGCAATGTTTTTTTTTGCTAATGCAAATTCCTCATGTGGATTATTAGTTTATACACAGGTGTGTGTGTGTATGTGGGCGGGTGTGTGTGTGTGTGTGTAAGTGTGTGTGTGCGTATTACAACCAGTATCAAGCACTGTCAATGCGGCTTAGGGGCTGGCCACCATATTCTACCGACTATTGAAGGCTATTTAATTATGGTTAAATATTGGCCAAAATGCATCAACCCAATGCGTGTGTGTTTCTCCCTCTCTCTCTCTCTCTCTCTCTGTGTGTGTGTGGATTTGTTGTGCTGCCAAAATATTTTCATTAATTAAAAGAAGGCGCTGCACCCGAAGCGGCAAGCCACACGGACCAAAGTCAAATGTCAACAAGACCGCAATTTTATTTATATTTAAATATAATATATATATAACTTGTGTGTGGTTGCGTGTGTATGTATGTATGTATATTATTCTTTTATTATGTATTTCTATTTCACTTTTGCGCTTTTGTGTGCTCTTGCTTTATGCTAATGTCGCCTGGTGGGACTCTGGCGACTGGTGCCATAAAATGTGCTAATACACAGGAAAAGTGGAGGCGCATTTGTAACTTTGCATTTAAAAAAGCATTATGTTAAAATCTGCCTACGGTCATAGTCAGCAGGGAGGAGCATCAGGAGCGGGCGTGTCGGGGCGTGAGGGTGGTAGTGGGAGGGGGGGGGGGGTAGGGGGTGACTGAGGACCATAGACGCCACGATGCGCAATTAGATTTCCGCT